CCTCCCACAACACCACCATGCTGCAGGGTTGAATTTTGCCTGTCTCATCAGTCTTTCCTGCAGTTGGAGAATGTTTTTTTTCTCTTTCAGATTCCAGCACTTTTCTTTTCTTTCTTTCTTTTTTTTTTTCTTTTTGGTTGATCAGTGGCCAGACAGAAAAACACGGCTCTTGGCTCAAAGAGATATCGAGCTTTGGCATATAGACCAAGGCTGTCAATACAGATTAGGTTGATCAGATAAAGTTTATCTGCAGCATTTGAGCGTCCTTTGGTTGGGTACCAGCTTAATTCCGGGGCCACAATTGATAATGTGACCCGAGGATCAAAGCGGATCGAAATTCGGGCCATTGTTCTTGCCAGGAGCGGACCACAGTGGCCTTGTCAAAGGTAAGTCACTTTGTGTATCATTATGCATGTAGCACAATAGCTCTGCTCTGTGATAACAGGAATTACAAGAGATGCGCCATGGTTGTGCAGGTTCATGGCGGTTTAGTGAAAACTTTCATAATTTGTCTCATCTACAAATAATCCTTTATGTGAGCTACTACACTTGAAAAAAAAATTTAAGGAGCATTTAAAACTAAACCAAGTTCGTCTGAAGTTTTAAAGTAAATATCTCACATTTTATTGTAGAAAAACAGAAGAATCTTGAAACTCCTCTCGCAATTTTCCATTGCACACTTCGTACTGGTCTTTTAGACTTTTTTTTCTTTACAAATATTTCTCATGTTGAATATAACAAGCCCACACGTTTCCAAAAGAAAACCATCAAAGGATTTAATGAATGCTCTTTACCTTTAAAATGTTTTTAAGCCCATAATTACCTCCATATGCAACTGACCTAACTTTGACAGTTTTGGTTAGTTAGTGGAAGGCTATTTGTGCTTCACACTCAAAAACCTCTGTATGACTTACAGTATATTTGACTTCAACCTTCAATGCTAAACGTCAGCCACCACAAGAGGGCACTTGGAGCATGTGTATGCAGCAGCAGCAGCAGCTCTAATTACACATCTTTGCCCTGTTTTACTGTTATGTTTTCACTGGTGCACAGATTGGAAGCTAATCCGAGTTCACTGAGTCCACAGTGGCCTCTCTCACACACAGTAAGGACAACGTGCATTCTTCAGATTGCAGAAGGACGAGTCGAGTTGCTGGAGTTTTTTTCTTTCTTTCAAGAGTCTTTAGTCTTGTTTCTCTTGTATTACATCTCAGAGAAAATGTACAGTTGCAGGGGAGCAACAAACTCTGCAGAAGAGACAGCTTTGCATCTTACAAAAACAGCAGAGAATTGACCTGTCTGCAACAAAGATGTTCGAAGCTTAAAACGCCCCGTGCCCTCGCACAATGACTGCATGTGTTATCAGAGTAATACGTGCCTTTTTAAAGCCTGTCCGTACACAATAGTCGGAGAAAAAGTGAGGGGGGAAATTAAATGCTCAAGAACACAAGAGGGCAGTACAAAGAAGTACACCGAGAGTGAGTCTTATTGGATGTGGCTGGAAGTGAGAGGGAAACACACCGAAAACAAGCTCGGGTGGTGAGATGAAGAGGGGAGGCATGGCAGCAGTAAATGATGCTCGCCCTCTACACCTTGTCAGTTATTAGGAGAAGCCAGAGGAGAAAGCTGACATTACTTTGTGCTGTCTACAGAAAAAATAATTGGCTTGCAGGCCAGCTTGCTGGCACCTAAAGCATTTCGAAGTGATGTTACAAAGTTGCACGCCAGACGAAAAAAAAAAAAAAAAAGGGCAGGCGGGAAAAAATAAAATGAAATAAAAAAAATACATGCGTATTATGTGCCATGCAAAAGTTTGGGTATTGTTGAGTTCTGCTTCTGCTGATTTCAACATGTGATGAAAAAACGATGTGCCCTTTAACTGGCATGCAGCTATGTTAAGTAAGACATAACAGTTTTTTATTATTATTAATACAAATTTGGAATAAGAAGAGGAAAAAAAACAGCAAATGCAAAAGTTTGGATTCCTCCCCTCCAAAACGTTTGAGCTTAAATAATTTGCAGACCTTACTGTGATTTCCAGGGCTGCAGCTGGTTCACATTCATTTAATGTGGGCATTTTGTGCAAGGCCGTTAAAAGCTTTCCAATGTGAACGTGTTTCCCCCACCCCAAGTTTTTATCTATTTCTGCTGTTTTATTTACAGATCACATTGAAAATAAAAATAAGTAACATCTGAAAAGTAGGCCTGTAAAAAAATAAATAAAATAAAAATAAGAAGTACAAATGCTACCAGCCAACTTCATGTAACTCTGTTTTCCTATTTTGTCAAAAGGGTGAGTTTTAGGAGTATATTCGATTTTCTCAACAAAATTCTTAGTATCAGAAGGAAAGTCGATCCAAAGCATAAGAAGCCACAATTGCTGTTTGGTCCCTTCATGCCAAAAAAAGAGTAAATAACCTCCTACAAAAATTTGTATCTCAAAAAGTAAGCTTTTTTAAAAAATAAATGTATTATAGATATGCTTACTTTTAAATTTGCTCTGAAACTTAATAAATATTGTTCAAGAATTCAAAAATGATTTTGCCGTCAAAAAATCTGACAACATTCTAAAAATACAATAATTTAAAGATGCTAAATATAATTGTCATTATTCAGCGAAAGCAGTTATTTTTGCTTGTTTGTGCTCAAGTCTCATTTAATTTCACACCCACTGCAAAAATGGTTGTCAACAGCAATAAATTTCTGTAATTTTTGTTGTAGCTGTTAGAATAGCTAAGCAAGCTTCGTTTGTCCTCTGGCGTCCTGAGAAGTCAGACATTCAACATGACTACCAGTCTAAATTAGTAACACTTATTTCGTGTTACTAAATAAATAAGACAGTAAGTTGGCTCCAGATTTTATGTCCTGCTGTTTTTTTTAATTTATTTATTTTTTAGAAAACAATTGGGGAAAAAAACAATTATTCTATGGCCAGGGAAATTCCAACCTGGGATCTGGTCATTTTAATTGCTTATAGTAATTTTTGAAACAAGGGAAAACAGATGTGTTTAAAAAAACACCCAGAGGAATTAAGCTGGAACCATTTAAAAGAGATTTTGGGGTTAGGGGTGGTGACTGGTGGGTGTGGTCCTTACAGGAACTGGGCCACGAGTCAAATTCTGCTCAGGTCCCATATAATTTGGGACTGGCTCATAAACGAGCATCTAAGTAAACTTAATGGAATGAGAACGCAAACAGTGTTCAGAGATTTTAAACAAAAACTAAGGAAACAAGAATGGAGAGAAATAAAGAGTAAAATACTTCTGCAACAAGCACAAGGCAGATCGACTTGGACTTGAGCTGCAGTCTGACTCACAGGAGACATTTCACCGACTGAAGTGGGAAAAAAGAGACCAGCAAACACTAAAAGCCAACAAGTACAACTACAATTCCCACAATTGTTGCCCGTCTGGAGGTGTGAGCTGAAGATGTCACCATGTCCTGTCATGCACATCATTAAAAAAATTTCTTCAACAAAGCTGTGCTCTTGGTGACCCGGGGAGATGATGGGAGGAAGCTAAGAGAATAAAAAACACGACACACTTTCTTATTTGCACAGAATAACGGATTTCTTTTTGTTCCATTATTGAGCTGTAGTAAACATATAACACTTTTGCACATGTTCTGTAACGTCTTATTTCCCAGAAGTATTCATAGAAATCAATGTTTTTCAGGCTTGATTTCAGATCTGTAAGTAGACAGGAAATAAATATAGCAATATCAAACAACATGAACGATTAACAAGTTTTCCATTTCATTCTTTGACTGGTCACCTGCTCTTCAGACTCACATTTTCCTCCACCCATCCGGAGGATTCCCCCTTCCACTGTAAAAGGTGCTTTACTTTTGATATTTTGTCACATTTCTTCCGTTTAGGGTCTGGGTGCCTCTTCTTGCTGACTCATGTTTAAAAAAAAATCATTCAAATAGACATCGAGTAAAAGCTGCTGCTCTGAGAGGTTTTCAGGTTTTGGTGACGAAAAAGTAAGTCCCAACTTAGTGCTTTATGTTGCTTGATAACAACTCTCCATTGAAATTAACTTTGAAACATGTTCTGACTACTGTTATTATGGTTCACAGAAAATACTGCAAGATATGGACGAAAAACTTTTTCCACATGTAATTCTGCATTTATATATATATATATATATATATACTTTTGAGGGAGGCACCAGATGTCCTTCACTGTGAGATATGATGATGTTCTTTTAGTGAAGTCAGAGAAATGGCCAGATTTTGTTTTGTTTCAAATTCTTTCCTGTTATCTAGCTGCTTTACCTGTGCCATCTGTATCTTGATCCTGGCTTACTTATTGCACTCTCCTCCGGGTGACACCTTTGTGCAGTGAGATCCGAGTGACCCCTTGTAAAAGGATGAAGATGGTCAAACGTAAGGAAAATGCTGTTTGACCAGACAAACATCCTTTTAGACTGAAGCGATTGACACTGCAGGCACGAAATCCCGAAGAAAAAGAATATCCTGTTTACCTGAGTTATTTTAATCTCTAACAATGCATCATGTTTTAGCTTTTTTCTTCTTTTCTTTTTTACACGATATGTGTCAAATTAAATGTAGAAAAGGCTTCAAAAATAATCACTCTCATTGTTTGACATCGCAAATAAATGCGCTGCAGATACTCTGCAGCTCCTGAGTCAAAGGCAAAGAACCCCAAAAAACTTCAAGTCAGATCTCTTTTCTCAGACTTCCTTTATTGCGCATTTTAAAAGTCTTGCAGTGTTCTAAAAAGAAAAAAAGAAAACTACACTATTTAGTCAGCAGTTATGGACAAAATCCAACAATCAGAAAATGTTGATTGCTTTAAGCGTAAGTGTCATTAGAGACTGCAGAACCTTGAAGAAGTCACCAAAACAAACTTCTAAATTCTCTGGCAGCGGTTCTTCTTCAGTTTATCGAATGCAGCCCGCTGTACGGTGGTGCATGCCTTTTAAATTTTGGCAACTTATGCATCTTTATGCAAATAACATTAAATTGTAAAAAAAAAAAAAAAAAAAGCTGCAGAGGGGCATCACAGCTGTTTAATGCAATCAGGAGGATTTGAATATCTTAGCATTCTACAGGAAAAGAAAAAAAAAATCATAAACTCTTTAACCCTCTGCAGTAAAACACCAGGAAGTTTGCATTCCCCAAACGTTCAGTCACCATGCAGATGATTTTCACTAGCGCCAGTGAATCATGAAGGACACTTAAGTCTCAGATGTGATCAAAATACGCAAGAGGCGCTCTGCACTCGCTGTTTTGTCCATTTGTTTACCCTCTGTTCGACAGAGTCTCTGTTGCTTCCTGTTAAGCTCGTGTCGTTACAAATGTACACATCCTGTCCAGGGATGTTGGCTCCTGCACAGAAAGCTCAAAATGAGTTAGCAGAATCACATGAAACAGGGACTGGGGACGTCCACACATACTTGTTTTTAATTAAAGGAGAACACTGTGTTTGTTAAAGAGGTAAGAAGGAAAGGTGGGTTTCAGAAAGCAGAATAAAACTTGCAATTACAAAAAAAAAAAAAATGAGTGAGAAAATAGAAATGACACTGAACAGCTATTGTGGACCGCAGGTGTAACAAAAAAGCTTCTCAGGCAGCGTTGGCAGAAAGTCAAAGAAGGATTCAGCTCCACAACAAGCTGTTTGCTGAATGTATAGTGCCATCATGTGCTTAGCTTCATTCATTACATTCACTGTTGTTTTTTCTCACAAATGTTCAAGAAGAGTCTTTTATAAGAAGCAGCATTACAAATATTGTGTCAATGTTTTATGTCGAAAAAAATTACCCATGGCGTAAAAGCTGAAGAGTGTCAAGAGAGGATGCTACTTAAAATGTGGAAGAAAAGCGCGTTTGAGAGAGGGCCAGACTTTCAGAAGACAAGAAAAGCAAAGAACGGGGAGGGATCATCAGAGGAGAGCAGGGCTTTATCTGTGTAAAATTGCAAAGACCGAGAAGCATTCATTACAAACAGAGCTAATGAGGCTGAAAAGCTGATGCAGATTGCCCGCGAACTCTCGGCCCTCTCACATTCATTTTCTGGTGATACTCCACTTGGGTTTAAAAAACACTTCCATCATTAAAGTTACTCCAGACACAAACAACAGCAACAAAAAACAAAAAAAACTCACCTCAAAACTATTTCACAGACCCCTCATTGACTTTCAGAGATTTGTGATCAATTATTTAAATTATAAATCGTCTGTTGAAAGAATTTCAATTTTTTTAAAAGATAATTCCTAAATGAGACTCTGACTCTGAATGATGGGATGTGACTGTCAGGCTCTCGTGAGCGAACCGTTTCAAACACATCGGTGGCGTCATGAGGATGGTACTTTGCTGTAATGGCACAGTTCCTGTCGACAAGACATGCTTTGGATCAGTATATGTGACCTTATGCGGCGCCCTGTAGACTTATTCATGCATCTTTAAATGCTTCACATTTTCTCAGTTTCTAATGTTGATGTTTTCAAGTCAGAAGCTTCTCGTTTTTGTGAAAAAAATGCCAGATTTTAACAGCAAACACATGCAAATCTAGTCAGGCTTTTGCTTGTGAAAACAACTGAAGACCATGCATCCTTCTTTCTCTCTACCTTTCAGCCATGTGAAATCCTAATGAAATATTGTACATTGAAGTTTTTCAACATTGTAACATTGCAAATGATAAGAGTTTCATAAGCTGCTGCACCTTGATGTTTGTTTGAATCATTGTGTGTTAGTGGTTCAATGAAGAACGGTGTCAAATGTTGAGGCAATAACATGAAGAGCTGAACATAAAGATTTCACATTTTTTATAAATCCATTTTGCTGGCATTAGTGTGAACCTTATGTAATCCAAAAAAGTGGTTAGACATAGTTACTATTTTCTTTTTTTTTAACCGTCTAAACTTTCTCTGGAAACATGGCTTTCGTGGGTGCAACAACTACTCCGGCATCATCTCTCTTGTGCTTTATTATTATTATTTATTTATTTTTTTTGCTTTGAATTCACATTTTGCCGCAAACTCTTCACACCGTGCGTCAGATGACCTGAGGCAAAACGAGAGGGAGAAGCCACAAGTCGTGAAGGAAACCAAACCAAGAGAAGGTTGGGCTGCTGTTTCTGATGCCTCCAGAAGGCAACTGATTCTGTCTCCTGACGCTTCTGGTGCGGAGCGTGGCTGTCCTCTTTGTTTGGGTGGAGGAGGCCTCTGTTATAAAGAATCGATCGGTGGCCAGCTCCACGCCGTTTCCTTTAGATGTGTCGGTAATGAGACTTTTGTCAGAGAAATGGGATGAGTCTGTAGTGTGGAGCGGGGCTGAGGATGAAGCTTCCTTTGTGCCTGAGATGAGATGATCTATGTCCTCTCGGCTGCCGGTTCTAGCCAGGTGATTAATTGTGAAGGTGGAAATGCTGATGGCTGTTTCCGTGAAGGCATCGTGCCCCGTGTTTAGAGACTCTCCGCGGGTTTGGGGCGTGCTTTGCTGAGCGAAGGCGGACCAGTACCACCGCGTGACGCTGTCTTCAGGCGACACCGATCTCAGATCTGAGGCACCGACTGCCAGAGGGGGCAGAACAAAGGAACCAAAGTGCAAACCTCCAGTCCTGCTGGAGTGCGTCGATCCACACATAGGCTGGGTGTAGCAGGGGCAGCCGAGGACAAGTGCCGAGGTGCTCTGAGTCCAAGTCAGCAAGTAGTCGACCTCATGAAGGTGGCAGGCCCAAGGGTTGCTACCCAGAGTGACGACTCGAAGTGAAACCATCCTGTCCAAAACGCCAAAGGGCAGTGAGGAGAAGCGGTTAGAGTGCAGGTAGAAGTGGGTTAACTTTGGGAGTCGGTCAAGAGAGCCCGGCAGCACCTTCAGAAGCATGTTGTGGGACAGATCAACAGTATCCAGGTGCGCAGGCAGGTTGGTGGGCAAAGTGTAGAAGTGATTTTTGCTGAGGTTGAGCATCCGCAGCTCAGGCATTGTGTTATTGATGAAGACGGCCCTCTCTACCTTGTTGCCCGAGAGGTCGAGGGTCTTCAGGTTCCAGTGGTAGGCCGTGTCGTTCTTGTCCAGCAGCTGGATGCGGTTGGACGAGGCGTGGAGCTCCCAGAGGGAGCGAGGCAGGCCTCTGGGAAGGCGGCTCAGCTTGTTGTGGGACAAATCCAGGACGCGGAGGTGGGTGTACGAGGCGAGCCTGTCGTCCAGATGGACGAGCCGGTTGTGGGACAGATTGAGGGAGAGGATGTTGTGCTGCAAGCCGTCGGGGAGCTCTCTCAGGCTCCTCCGGAAACAGTCCACCTCTCTGTGGCTGCGGCTGCAGGAGCACACGGAGGGGCACACGGCCAGGACGCGGAGCCCGAGCCACAGCACCAGCACCAGCTCCAGGAGGGCCTCATTAAGAAACGGCTTCAACATTACGGGCCTGCTGGGGGTTAAAAAAAAACAGAAAAGAAAAATAAAGGGAGAAAAATGTCAGCGTATAAAAAAGCTGAATGAGCAAAAACACACTGAACTACCTCTCATGTATCCAGCACAGTGCCTGCATTGTGCCCTTTTTTTTTCATACAAGCGAATAACACCAGATCTGAACTGTAGTGAGGATTTTTCAACTACATTGAAGAACATCATCCATCAGGAAGGAGGACAAATCCCTGCAGTCATTTTCCCTGGCATCAGTTTGTGTTCACTCATCAGTGGTTGTCAGTGGAGTCAGTCCCATGCTCTCAGAGGAGGAAAACTAGTCCAATAGATGGGTTTTGGTAACGACTCCACAGAGGACTCATGCATGAGCTGGTCCAAAGGCAGGCAAAGACACAGCCGACAAGATACTGCAGTGTTTTTTTTTTTCTTTCTTTCTCTCGCCCAGGGTGTGGCTAATGTGTGTGCAAGAAGAAGAAGAAGAAGAGCCTTCAAATATGTTTCGAACTCACCTCCTCATCTTATCATTCCAGTCACTTTTTCTCTGCTCCTTTTTGCCGCTCAGCACCTCTTCTGTCTCCTCTCTGCTGCTTTCAAGCTCGGGACCAGCTGGTGCTCTGCTGAAGGTGAATTTGCCCCCCCTCCCCACCCTCCTTCTCTCCTCTGTATGTCTATCTTGGTATTTGACCCCTTCTCTCTTGTCCAGTGCAGGTGTTCTGCCCTAAACTCGCGTCCAGATGAGTCCCTCTTCTCCTCCCTGTGCAAGCTGAGAGTTTACTACTGCATCTTATGGATCTTTTGGGCTGGCTCGATCAGGCACTGCAGGCTCTGGATTTACTGTGTGCAGTGGAAGTGAGAGGGGAGGGGTGGCGTGTTAGCAGGGAGAAGTATTGGGAAGGAGAAATGGAGCGCATAATGGAGGGGCTCTCTGCATACACGGATCCCCACTAGGGAAACTCCTTAGTCCCTTTTAAATCTCTCGGCTTTAAAGATCCACTCCTGTGTTCCGAAGAACAATTACTGTTCAGTTTGGTTTAACTGGCTGTTTGTACTTAAAATAAAGACTGTTATCAGTTATCTGCTCAATATAAATCATCCCTCTCTAAAGAACCCTCTCTGCCCCTCCCTCCCCCCTGTACAAGTCGATGAAGTGCTGTAATTGGCTGTAAATGTAGAGGCTGCCACAAAAAGCCTCAAGATTTATTACAGAGGACTCTCCTCCTCTGCAGCATCCCACCTGTCATCAGCAATACAGCCAACTCTCCATCTTGCACTGCATTGCTGCACTTCTGCCTCCCGGTTACACCATGCTCGGCTACAACACCTTGCAAAAGTTTTCACACCCTCCTAACTTTTTTTTATATTAGTATTTGTGTGTGTGTGTGTGTGTGTGTGTGTTTGCTTTACATTTCCACATTTTCCAGACAAACCTCTGCGTGTGTTTTAGTGTGATTTTATGCGACAGGCACGCAGTGGGGCGCAATTATGAAGTGGGAGGAAAACAAAATGGATTTTCAGTCTTTACAGAAACAAAATCAGAAAGTTGTGGCGCGCGTTTGTGTTCAGGCAACTTGAGTAAACAATTTGGTGATTTACCTTTCACTGTGATTACAGCTGGAAGGTTTTTTTGTTTTGTTTTGGGGGATTTGGGGGTTGGGACGATGCCCGTATCTAAAAAAAAAAAAAAAAAGAACGCCGTGCCACTAGCTCAAACTAGGTAACACTGGAATAAGTGTGCATTAAACAGCAATTTGGAGTTTTGCCACAGCTTCTCATTCGGATCTACATCTAGGCTTTGACTGGGCCATTCTATCATTTCAATATTCTTTGACCTAATCCGTTCCCTTGAACCCTTGACTATGTTTTCAGGGTTGATGCCCTGTTAAAAGCTGACCCTTCATTTTGGGAAATCAGCGAAAACTTACACAAGAAACCAATCTTATTCACATCTCCAAAGGTCTGGAAATCGGCCTCTTGTCTCCGGTGGAGCAAACAGAGACAGAGGCAGACTGATGAACGCAGTTAGCAGTACTTATTCAACTTTTGCCAACGTAATGATCTTATTGTGATATATGGTGACTTTTCAGATTTAAAAAAATCTAATTTGGAATCCCAATTGGTACTTTGCCACATTTTGCTGCATCCAAATGCAGAGCAATTTCATTCCCACTGCAGAAAAGATCCTCCACAGTGTGATGCTGCCACTACTACTATAAAGTTCAATTTGCCAAAGGCCATTTAAAGCTATTTAAATCAGGAAAAAACTTAAATGGCTATTTCAACTGACTCAAAATAGCGAGGATGCTGAATCCATACGAGCTCATCAACTGAGAAGCGGAAGTTTTATTTCTCCGGGCGCACGCGCGCGATATGAAAACACAGCCAGGCTAAATAAAGCGCCCGTTCGCGAAGCGCTCGCTGCTTCCTCCGCCACTTCTCTCTGCGCTTCCAGTCAAGCCGCCTCGCCTCAACTCTTCCAGCAGCTGCTCCGCTGAGACTGAAGCTCGTTGTTGCTGTCTGTCGCTCCTCCCTCCCTGCGAGCCTCAACGTCGAAACTCTGCGCGTCAAGCCTGCGCGCGACATTGTCGGTTTTGAGGCCGTGTTGCCAAGTCGCGATTCGGATCCTCCAATAAAGGAAGGAAGGAAGGCGGCGTCCCATTGGCTCGGCGACACAGAGCGAGCGTGTCGTTTGGCCATTTAGAGATTTTTGACTAAAAGGTGCAAATCCAACTATTATGTCACAAGTAAATAGGTGAACAAAATATCTGCACGTGACAGCTGAGGAAGGGCTCTTGTGTGTGTTATTTGAAAGGTCTCTTCTTGTTTGGTTGCGTCAGCTCTGGTTGAAATGAAAAGATCCTGTGTTGGAGCCTAACAGGAGCTCATTCTCCGCCTGCTAATCAAGCTCATCTCCTATTCGCTCTCTCTCTTTCTCACAAGTCTGCTGCGCCTTCCCCGAAGTATTCAGAATAACAACCGGTGAACTTCTCCACATGTTGCCACGACACAATCACGCACTTTCATACTTTCATGCGGGAGAAGAAGCACGGATGGTTTTTCTAAATCCTAAAATGTGTGTCAGGCATTTGTTGTTTTTGCACTCAGCCTCCGTTCACTCCATACTTTGCACAGCCGCCTTTCATTGCAGCTGCAGCTGCAAGTGTTTTGGTTTTTTTTTTCCTCTATCAGCTTGACAAACACTGCAGACTTCTTATTTTCTCGTTTGGGTCTAGGTTTGGACTTTGACTAGGCCATTTTAGCACATTAGTGTGGGCGGGTTGAAATCATCCATTGTGAGCTCCGACCCTCTTCCTATCAGCTAAGCAGCTTCTTTATCTCTGCTGAAGAATATCATCCCCACAGGATCTGCTGTTGCTACCTAGTTTTGTAAGAAACTGTGTTTTGTGAAACGTGCAACTGAGAACCGAGCTGCGGATCTCTGCAGCTCCTCCAGTTACCAGGGGCCTCTTGGCTGCTTCCATGATCAATGTTCTCCTTTTGCCTGACCTTTGATTTTGACTATGTTTTCTCTTCTCGTTGCTCAGTCCTGCCGACTCGTGCAAGCTGCACTTTGTAGAATTTTGTTTGCAAAATTAAAAAGAAAAATGTATGGAGTGGTGTGGAAGGAAAATGTCAGTAATCATGGCAGTACAGCAAACAAATCTAGTTTATTCAGCCTCCAGCAACACAGCAGAGTTCAAAATGGCAGCCCTCCCATCAGTCTTCTTTCTACATTCAGCCTTCTCGATTTACCCCGGCCAATCAAACTCCAGCTCTTATCACAGCTTCTTCTATAAAAGAGTTGGGTTTGTTGGGACCCTTCTTGCATGGTCCCAACAAAGACACATCCACAAGATAACAAACATTTCACACAAACAAAGGTTCATTTATACACTATAGAATTCACAACCTTAAACAAAAACTTGCTTCTTAATAAAAATAAAAATAAAAAAAATGTTCTTTTCTTTTTCACTCAATGCACCACTTGCATAAAGTGAAATAAAAAAAAAGGAGGAAGTTAGGACTTTATTGATTCCTACTTTTGGGAAATTACTGCAGCTTAATTTAAGAATGCATTAGTTTTTATTTATATCACCATTTGTTTTGGTATTTTCTGCCAGTTTATTTATTTTTACTGAGTTTACTTTTACTTTTTGTCTAATCATTTACCTATCTTTGATGCTGTGGTTGTTGTGAAGCACTTTGCACAACTGAAGTTGTGTATGTGCAAAGTCAATCGACATGGACTTGACTTTGTGTTGCTCTGTCCCATAAAGCCACATGACAAATTGTGAAACAGCTCAAAATGAAGGAATATTTTAGCAAGGAACTTCATGGACACAGACACATCTTGTGCAACCAACTGGGAACTGAAAATAAGCAGCAATCCGTCCCACATAGAACTCCATTCAAGAAGCTTGTTTTCTTTGACGCCTTCTGCTTTTGAATCAAATGAACAAAAAAGACCAAGTAAACACATTTTGTCAAATTTTAATTGGGAAATGACAAAAATATGCAAGCAAAAAAAAAAAAAGTAAGACACGTGCACAAATATACAATCTGATGGGTTAAAATTACATGCATAAACTCTTCTGCTCAAAGGAACTACGAAACTACTGAAAACGACTGCCAAGTTGCGTTGAAATGGAAATTCGTGAAGAAAACCTTACTGCTCTTTTTTAGGTTCCTCTGTGTTTTCAGAGGAGGAAGGCGGCGGAGGATCTTTGGTGGTCTCCTCTGCCGGCTTCGAAGGAGGAGAGCTCTCCTCTGGGGCTGCAGCCGCAGCCGCCCCCTCACTCTTCTGAGAGTCTCCCACCTCCTTCTCGTCTCCCTGTTGCTTAACCTCATCGACCTTCCCTCCAGCCTCCTCGGTGGCGCCGTTGTCACCCTCCCTAGTCGTTTGACCGTTCTCTGTCAGCAGGAAAGCGTTTTCTTTAGCTTCTGGTTGTGACTCGGCTTTACTCGTCTTGTCCATTCCCATCCAGTACTCGGAGTCGCCGCCTGCCGCCCTGAGGCGTCTTCTCAGCTGGCACACCTTGCATGCAAGTGCCAGGGTAGAAATCAGGAGGATGGCGCAGGCTAAGATCAGCGCTGCGCAGGTTAGGATTGTCTTGTCCTCTAATAGATCAGAAAACTCCCACGTTTTGGCAGTGGTAGTGGTGGTAGGGGTAGTCGGGGTAGTAGGGGTGGTACGGGTGGTACGGGTGTTAGGGGTGATCGGAGAGGTGGTGGAGATGCTGGTAGCGCTGTCGGTTGACATCTCAGAATTTTGTGATTCAGATTCAGTTGTTGACTTATTCTCTGAGATGTCATTAGAGGCGGTTGAGGTCAAAGCATTGTCTGAATTGTGTTCTAGACTTTGACACAAAGACCACGGGATAAACAGCAACACGGCCAGAATTTCAGCACAACACAGCAGGCCGTTCATGTTGATATCTATAAAAACAAAGGGCAGGAGAGTTCAGGATTTGAATGTGCGTCTGATGCAAATGGACGACAGGATGGAGAAACTTGCACACAATGAAGCGTACTTGAGCTATTTGAACACAACTTTAACAACTCCCTTGTATTTTTGGCGATAATTATCATTACGTTCACATTGATAAAAGTGATGTTCTATGTAGTCTTTTTGACAACAGAATTCTTTTTTCTCACAAACTACACAATAATATTACAGATGCTGGAACGATTTGCATACATCAGCAATTAACAATTAAAACAATCTGGTGACAGGATTCCACCAGATCCCTGCCTTCTCAGTATTTGTCCGTTTATACTCTAAAAACTTCTGTTTCTTTAATGTAAGTGCTGAGTTTAAGTACTGGGGACCAAAACTGGTTAGTTTCTTTTTTTTCTTTTTCTTTTTTTTTTACCAAACATTGGGTCCAAAATTGCGACTGTTCACAGGATTAGAAATCAGCCTTGAAAGGCAACCATTTTGAAATGTACAAACCACCTGACCTGTCCCCATTGAGTCACCGCTACAGAGTAGATTTCTGTCAGCAGTTCCATTAATTACTTTAGATTTAAGATTTTTTTTTGTCTCAGATAAAATTAGCTGCTCATTAGTTATGCAAGCTAGTTCTACACATGTTCAGCTTGTTGACTAAATATTTGATCACAAAATATATATATAGACAGGAAATCATAAATAGAGTGTTATGTATTGAGGGTGATTTTTATCACCACTTGGTTATTTTAAAGTTGAGTTTAAAAATACATGGTAAATAAAATTTTTTCATTTTGGGCTGGGGCAGCAAGACGGGACTTAGTTGTCCTTAGTCCTCAGTCCTTTGCATGGTTGGGTCACTGGCAGATTGGCAACCTTTCCAGGATGCTTTGTAACTATTCACTACTAGAGACCAGCATTACCGCTCTAATGGGAAGTAAAGATAAAGTTGGTGTTGCAAACGGGTAGATAGATTGTTTACTTATTGCTTGCTGAGGAATCCATCTTCTAGCTGCAGCCCAACTCTGGCAAATCAACCTCAACCTGAATCCGTTTTAATCCAAGGCTTTACCCCGAATTTGGTTGTTTTTGACCCAGACGTGAACCGCAAATCAAAGATCATTTGAGCCAGTTTGTACATTTAAAATTCTCCTGAATTTCCCGTATTTCGAACTTTTTTCTATGGCGTATTGGTGTCTTTCAGATCCTCCTGACAAGATGGAGGCTGGAAGACATGAAGGAAAGTCAAACTAGGGGCTCACAGCCCACTGAGCTACTGCGTCGCTCGTTTCAGACAAAAATCAAATTGAAAAAAAAAAAGCTTTTAGAGACAAATGAAGGGCAAGAACCTTAGAAACAAACAGCATCTGACCCCAGTTTTTTTTTTTTTGGCTCACCCAAAGTCTTGAAAACCATGAACAAAAACTATTTAGCATTTTTCCATTTTAATAATGCTTTGATAAAGGGTTGTTGCATCATCTACAAATAATAGACTTGACTTAAACTCTGTAGTCCTACAAGTAGAGTTTAGGATAAGATCATGGACACTAGAGTCTAATCAATTTCTCACCAGAACAAGAAGATAATAAAGAAAATAATAACAAACCAATCACTTACATTGTTTGTTTTGCCAAGAAGAGCAGGAGTTTGTGTGGATGGATGAACAGATTGGAGCAACTGATGAGTAAAGTCAGTATTTTACAGGAACCGAGATGCAATGATATCAGTTCAAATCAACGGTTCTCGTCTTGCTGTCTCGACTTCTCTTCTTCCTCTTAGGACTATATTAAGAAGAGGAAGTGGTGATGGGTGTTCTGCTCAGTGGAGTGGTCACAGGAGCACATGCAAAGCAGTAGAACGTAAACGCGGCCTGAACCGTGCTCTCACTCAGCATCTCGATTTGTTTCGTTTAAATGCACGGGATCCTCAAACGCACTTGCAACACTTATTTTTTTTTCCTCACTCTTTTCTTTAAAGTCTATTCTTGTTTTGAAGAATTGTCCGTGCAGGTCACTGCAGGTCACCGATGCTGGCATGATGGGAAACCGCCTCGGCCTGTGCATCGCAAACGCCTCGGTCACGCTTTTTAAACAACAAAAATAAATCTACCTCCATCTCGTTTTATGCTTAAAGGTTTACCTTCATGTTTACGAGAAATCGGAAACTGGTACTGCGTCTGTTCGGTCGTCGCTGGTCAGTGTCGCACATGGATGCTCCAAGACTTTTTGACACGCTTAAAAAATAAAATTAAACAAAAAAATAACAGCCACCATAAAAAAAAAAAACAACAACAACAAAAAGTGCATGAATACTTCAACTTTCACTGACTCTACTTGAGCTTTTCCACTTCTCCAGACAACACTCTTACTTATTTTTTTTTTTATTGGAGTTTCACAACGCAAACACTTTCTTGTGTCTGGTTAAATGCAAACAGAAACCAGCAGTGTGTCTTTCAAAATGTTGAGCACTCAGTGCGGTGCGATTTATATTTAACTTCACGAGGAGTTTTGAACACACGCTGGTGGCCGTATCGCATCGACCACATCTACTGGAGGGACAAAAGGTCAAAGTTTATGGCTCCTTTTCCAAAGTGCCGTAAAATCAAGACAGAAAACGATCAGTTCTTTTTTTCCTCTCAATTTTATAAATTTGCATTGGAGGGAAAAAAAACAAAAAAGTGTTTCTATTTTTTAAAGTTCCTCATTTCGACCGATGCATGCTGTGCTACACACATCTGCACCTGCGCTGCAGAACTTAAAGGGGAAATGCCGAATTTCACAAAGCAGGATGCTGCAGATGACGAGAGCAGCAGCAGAGGGTCAAACTCTCTCCTCCTCCACATGACCCGCCTGCATCTGCTGGTGGAGGGATGGAAGTGCAGATCTTGGAGTTTGGAGTGTGCGGACGCCTGCAGGTCAGACCGCTGGGCCCTGAACAAACTCATCATCACGGCTGTCGTTAGAATCAAGACAGAGCAAAGAGATGCAACAAAAGCAGTAGAAACTACCACAAATCTGTAGTTTTCCTGATGCTGATGTTTTCCTTAGATATCAGATGGAATGAAGAGGGGAGAAACACTTTCTTTGCACATCTGCAGGAGCCACACGTGTGAAAATGAATACAAAAGGAAAAACTTGCAAGAATGCAAAGGTGGGATAAAAGCAATCATAATTTCTCTGGTGATTTTTTTTTTTCCTTTTTTAAATGAGAAGCCCGAAGGTGTCGGATGTCATCTCCTGAACGATTTATTCAGATGAAACAGACAGGCACCAGGAAGCCAAATAAAAATCAGAGGAGGAAGCGAGAGAAGAAGAAACACAGATGACTTCATTTCCAAAAAGCCACACGCCGTCCTCCGAGAAACGGAAAGCCCCATTTGTCAGTAACGCTGCACTCATCAATATATATTTACACTGGGCCCGTGAGCGCGTGCATGCCAGCCAGACGCTACTTTTTTCTCTTTTTTTTCCATTTAATTGCATGCGTTGTGTTTTTTCTACCTTTCACACCTGTAAGCAGCTGACTCGCTGTGGCTGTGATGGTGAACAGCTTCATTACAGACAATCCCAAGCACATCAGCCTGATGGCTGACAGCTGCAACGGGTGGGCTCAGCAAATGTCGAAATGGCCCCCAGAGTGCGGCCCACGCCTTCTGTGTCGCTCTTTCGGTCGACCGAGTTTAAAAGCTGAATTGCAGGGTTTCTACAAACTTCAATTTTATCTTTGCGGCTCACCTGAACGTCATCAGATTTGATGCTGCTAAAGTATCAAAAACAAACAAAGAAACAAAAAAAAAAAGTCAAATTAGCCCACTATCCATTGCCTCACTGTTGTGTGTGATGAGTGTGCTGAAAAAAAAAAAATCCCTTTCTAATCACTCAATGCTGGTCACGTGACCCGGTGCCAGTTGGAGTCAAAAGGCCTTTTAGTCGGGGCAGAGGGCACAAAGTGCTCCCTCTCTCTCTTTCTTTTCCATCGCATTAAAACCAGCGCACACAGAAATCGATTCATCACTCCTCACAGTCCGGGCCTTGCTTTGGATGCAACTTTTCAATTTCAAGGGCTGAATGCAAGCGAGGAGTGTTTCTCACTTTTATGACAGCACCCCAAGGCCCGGTGTCAGAGAGAACCCAAGTGTATTTATCAGAGGAAAAAGCTGCCTAAGCACCAGAAGTTGAGAAGATACCGCGATCAGCTGTCGGGAGGGGGGAAGAAAAAGAGCAAGCAGAATCAAGTAATGAGTCATTTCGCTTCAACTCATCAGTTCAAATCGCATTTCTTAAAAACGATGGCGACATACATGGTCTATTTTTTTCAAACTTTTTTTATATGCTTTTTTTTTTAATCACACAACAATATCATCAGCTAAGACAAAGTGCAACTTTGAAATTATTCAAGCTAATCTGGCTTCATGTGGAAAATGGAACTGCCTCATTTGGATAGGACCCGTCTCACAACATGAAGTAGACCAACAGATTGACAGGAAGTCACGCCGTCAGTCAGAAAAGAGCTACGAAGCTATTTCTAACCGAAGAAGACCCGCATTCACTCTGAGAGTGTACTGATGACTCATCCAGGAGCAAGGCAGCCCTCAGTTCATTTACACGTTCATGATTTAACGGTAAGAGAAAATGTGGAAAGAAAGAGTTAAAAACCCACTGCTAGTCAAAAAAAAAAAAAAAAAATCATTTCTATCAAACAAAGCAAACATGGCAGTGTGATGGTCTAGAAAAGCTTCAGGTTGATTAATTTCTGAGACTAATAAAAGCCTGTTTCTTCCATCAAAAAAAAAGAAAAGAAAAATCTGGACATTGTCCACCTTTTACTCCACAAAGTCAACCTCAAGGGTTCTTGAGGACAACAAACTGCAGCACACAGTGAAGTCGACCTCTGAGTGACTGAAAAGCCAAGGTTTTGGAGTGGGGGTCATCAAAGTTCGAACTGGTGTTCAATTGGTTTGGTGTGCCACGACCTTAAACGGAAAAAACTCAAATCAAAACAATTCTGCAAAGAAGAATGGAATCAAAATTAGACTCGTTGCAAACGCTCGATGGCACGTCGCTTCCGAGAGCGACAAAACTGTTTCAGTAAAGCAAAACTTCTGGTGAAATAAATCCTGGTTGGCCTGAGTGGCTGCTGTGCTTTGGGAAATCTAAATATGCATTGATACTTGCAAAGGTTATGTTGACCTCACAGAAAGATGCGTGTGACCTGAAGCAGGCAAGCGTTGCCAAACAAACAAAAGTAATCAGCAAGGACAAGCTGTTGCAGATATACTGCTGCCACCTAATTTGTATTTGTGCTTTTAAATGTGTAGCTATAACTGATTCGCTGACGTGGTTCGCACTTTAGTCCACCTTACTGATGAGACAGGAAGTGTCAAAAAAAAAAAAAGTGAAAATGTCATGCATCTTCTGCTGCTATGACTCTTGTGGCGTGAATGTGAACCTTCCCCCCCTCATCGGGTTGTTAACGATCAGACTTGAGGTAAAAGTGCACAACTTTTAGAAAGTAAAAACAATAAAGGTGTTGCTTTCCATCCTGAACGCGATCAGCTCCGCAGCAGTCTGCGGAGTTTTAGTGCCCCCTAGAGGCGAGGCCAAATCGACGTTCAGGACCCCCAGCAGGTGTTTGAGGAAGATACAGCTGCTTAAGCAGCGTCTCTGCCGCCCTCTGAAGGGTCATTTAAGAACTTAAGAGGATGACATTTCATATGTTTATCTGTCCTTCTACTCACCCTGAAAAGTTTTTTTTTTTTTCCTCCAGCAGGATTACTGTCCTGCACAATAAAGAGTTTTGATGCATTTCTATGAAGACGCTTGAAAAATCAGCTTAGCCCATAAAGCAACATTGTAGAAAAGAAATGACAAACTTCCAGGCCCGTCGCAGAACCTGCTGGACGTGTTTCACACTTTACGAGTGTTTCCACAAAGATCAATGTTGGTTTTCTGCACTCTCAGCTTTATTTCTGAAGGTACTAATTTAGCATTTTATTTTGGCGTCAGTGAGTCATTGGCCACAAAGTCACAAACGAATAGGTTTGCCTAACCGAACTTATTTGCTGGATGACAAAGCAGATTTTCTCATCCAGCTAAAATACTACTGCGCCTCAGTTGATCAGGTTTTCCTCTTTGGGTCAGAGTGATGTGTGATTGGTCACTGTCAGACATTGATCAGTTACCAATGCCATGTTTGTTAAATCCTGAAACGCAGGAAAAAGTTATATATATATATATATATATATATATATATATATATATTATATATATATATATATATATATATATATATATATATATAAAAAGCCATCTATAAAGTAGGTAAATTTTGTTTTTTTTTTGTCACTAACCAAACAGTCTTTTGAAAACATTTCCTTAAAATTGGACTCTTGTTTCAACACAGTTGGATACAGAAGACAGTGTTTGTATTTAGCAGTTAAACAATTGAAGGAACCACCCATGTTTGTATTCAGCAATGCAACAGGAATGGTTTTACTCCCTTGTCCTCGCTTAGGAAAAGTAAGTCTGCAGATTACTTTAATAACTATCAAGTTTTGCCACTGCGATTTTAGATCACTGGGTGGGGTGCCATTTTTCTGAGCTGGCATTTCTCCAGACATTATCTTCACTGGGCAAACGGCCGTGCAACTCTCCAACCAGTGAGCTCATGTTTCTTGGCTTGCTTATAATCACTTTGATATTTTTTTTTTTACATAAACTTATGTGTCAGCTTATATTTATTTAAATATTCAATCA